GTGTGTGTGTGTGTGTGTGTGTGTGTGTGTGTGTGTGTGTGTGTGTGCTGGTATGTCATGTGTGTGGCTATTCCCCGGAGCCAGAAGATCTGGGAAGGTATCAGGTCTCCCGAAACTGACTGCTGTATGTAGCCCAGCTTGGGTGATCAGAATTGCTCAGGCCCTTTGCAAGAGCAGTACATGCTCTTCACCATGGAGCCATCTCTCCATAATTTAAAATAATTAGATTTTAATATTTAATAATTATTTGATAATAATTTTAAAATAATTAGATTTCTGTATTTGAGTGTTTTGCCTCCATGTATGTGTACACCACATACATGCCTGCTTCCCAGGGAGGTCAGAAGAGAATGCTGGATGTAACTCAAACTGCAGTCACAGATGGTTGTGATCCGCCATGTAAGTACCAGGTACCAAACCTGGGTCCTCTGTAATAGAACCGGTGCTTTTAGCCACTGAGCCAACTCTCTGGCCACAAATCCCTTTAATTAAACACTTACTTGTAAATATTATTTATCTTGACTGCTCTGTGAGGGGCTGTGTGTGTGTGTGTGTGTGTGTGTGTGTGTGTGTTTTGTTAGTTTTTATTGTCAATTGGACACAACCTGGGGAGTCACCTGGAAAGGGGAACAACAGTTAAAAAAAAAAAAAACAGTTAAAAAGTTGCCTCAAGTAGATTGGGCTGCGAGAATACCTTTGGGGCATCTTCTTGATTGGTGTACGAGGGCCCGGTCCACTGTGGGTAGCACCATCCCTAGGCAAGTGGACCTGGGCTGTATGAGAAGCTAGCTGAGTGTGAACCAGTGAGCAGCCTTCCTCTGCGGTTCCTGCCTCCAGATTCCTGCCTTGGGTTCCTGTCCTGACTTCCCTCAGTGATGGATTGTGACCTGGCAGTATAGCTAAATATGTACCCTGTCCTCCCCAAATTGTTTTTTTCTGTCAGCGTGTTTTATCACAGCAAAAGAAGTCAAACTAAAACACCCTGTAATCCTGCCATTTGGCAGGTTGAAGCAGGAAGATCAAGGGTTTAAGAACTGCCTTGTGTGTGTGTGTGTGTGTGTGTGTGTGTGTGCGCACACGCGCTTTTAAAATGTATCCTTCTTATACTGTACTGTAAGTTTCATTGCTGTAGTCACAAAATCAAGCAAAATTAGTATCATGACCTCAAAGACAGTGATAGGCAGATAGATGTACATACCATACATCAGCAAATATTGTTTAATAAATCGTTAAAATGTTTAGATAGTTCCTATTTTTACTATTGCTCCTTTAAATTTCACTAACACTGCTCGTCTGAAAATTTTGTTCCATAGCTGGGGGTGGTGGCACACACCTGTAATCCCAGCACTCCAGGAGACAGAGGCAAGCCTGTGAGTTCAAGGCCAGCCTGGTCTACAAAGTGAGTCCAGGGCAGTCTACACAGAGAAACCCCGTCTCAAAAACAAACAAAATCGTTCCATATTAGTCAGAAGATGAACGTTACGTTTTTAACAGTCGTTCATGCTATTGGGTATGGTAATAGTTCATTCTGTATAAACTCCCACCAGATGGATATTGTGTTGCTTCTCCTTTGAGGCTATGGCAAGTAGCATGCTATAGGTTAGATGTGGCCCGTCATACATTAGAAGCGTGGTCCTTAATGTGGCAGTATTTAAGAAAACAATAGACACCTCAGGAGGTAAGCTTAATGGAAGGTAATTCTGTGATTTTTGGACACTACCCCCAGAAGAAATTAATGAGGGTCTTATTGAGTGACTTAGTCCCCATGAGGGCAGACTATTTTAGAACAGCAGAGCTTGCTTTCTCTGGTCTCTGGCTTCCTGAGTGTGTATATGCATGTATGCAGGCGTGCCTGTGTGGGCCATGATGTACGTGGAGGGGTCAGAAGACATTGGATCTCCAGCTCCACTTTATAAAGGTTCCAGGGATCGAACTCAAACCGTCAGAATCGCACAGAAAGCTGTGTTTTGGATTTGTTTTTGTTTTTTTTTGTTTTTTTTGTTTTGTTTTGTTTTGTTTTGTTTTACCCAAGGAGCTGTCTTCCCAGCCTGAAATCTGTGGGTTTTTTTTTTTTTTTTTTTTTTTTTAATTAAAAAAATTTTTTAAGGTTTTATTATAAAAAAAAAAAAAAAAAAAAAAAAAAAAAACCAACTGATATACCTCTCTGATTTGTCATTTTCTTTTATCACTGCACAGAACGCTTACTTTCTTCCGGTGTCCAGCTAGTCAATGTTCTACGTACGGTCAATGTGTTACGTGTTCTACTGAGGAGCTCTCAGGTCGTCTGCCCATGTCTTGCAGGGGGTCCTCCCATAACACTCTAGGAGGCTCTAGATGTGCACAGGGAATGAGAGTTTGCGGTGAAGTTCCCGCGCTCCTCGGCACTCTGCAGCGTTGCCTCCGTCCCAGCGGAAGCGCTGGGCAGGCCTTGTCGAGACTGGCTTGGCTCTTTGCGTCATCTCTCCACCGTTACGCGGCGCCCATTGTTGCAGATCTTTACATGTGATCGACATTTCTTGTGAAGTGGATCTTGCCCCTTTGTCTTTCATCTTCAGTAAATTCCGGCACGTCTGGAAGATTTGTTTGTGTGGGTGGGTGGGTGGGTGGGTGGGGGAGTTTGTGCAGGTGGATCCACTCTCAGCCTGAAATTCTTCTTATCAACCCCAGCGTGTTGTACATGCTATGCACATGGTCCCCGGCCTATTTATTTCTTAGCTGCACACCCTGAGCTTGTGTGTTTCTAGAGCTTTCTTTTGGCTTGTATTATAGTTCACATTCTCCAGCTCGCCGTGAGCCTCTCTTTCCTGACACTAATCCTGCCTGCTGACTTGGGTGCTCTGTTTTCAGCAGCCGTGCTGTGATGCCTGCGGTATTACCTTAGGAGCTTTACGCCGGCCGCTTAGCACACAGGAGCAGCGTAACCATTAGCCCCGGTTAGAGTCCACAGCTGACAGACCAGGTACTGGAATCCTCCGTGGGTCTCATTCCTGTCTAGTGTCCTCTCTTGGAGTCATATCTATCATTCTGCAGGTTTAGGGCTAAAATAACAGTCTCTTTTCTTTGCAGTTTAGTATTTTGGTGTCATGTCTTTCTTTCTCTTTGTATGTTTTTAACTGAATGATAAACACTGCATTTGGAAACATTTAGGAGATAACTGGAAAGTTAGATTTTTTTTTTTTTTCCTAGAGAGAAGCTACCTTGCTTCTGGTAGGTAGAGTGGGCCTGCCTAAGACTGGTTACCCTGGTTACCATAAATCCTGGGTCACCTTAATTCAATTAGAAATTAAAATGGAAGAACTCTGGGGTTCAAGTTGCTAGAGAACCAACAACTGATCCCTACCAGGGTATTCTTCCTTGTTCCAGATGAAACCCTGGATTTCCAGCCTACCTTTCCTGGTCAAGCCTGCGTTTATATATAGATGCTTTTTGTCCCTCTGGCTCTGTAACTCTGTCAACATTTTTTTTTTTTTTGACTTTTTAAGCCTCGCTGAACCTCTAGTAAAATGTGGTCCTGTCTTTTCATGACCCAATGAGAACGTAGGAGTAAAACAGAAGCATAAAAGACTTCATTTCTAGTCCCTCATGTTCCCTTTGTCAAATAAGCATCTATGCTAATATCTTCTTATCTATTAAGCCTTGAATCAGATGTTATTATGTCAGAAATGAAATTAAACTCAATTCCAAAATACCAATGTGCTAATTACTTTAACCTAAAGCTAGTAAATCAATATTAAACACAAACAGCCTAATACAGATTTTTGAGTGTTTTGGATGGATAGTTCACATACAGTTTTTATATTTTACAAAAACACAGTAAATTCAAACACTTGAAATATTTCTAAATTCTTATAAAACAATAATCATCAAATAAATATTTGTACATACTTTGACATCCCATTTTTTTAAAAAGTGTCTTCATGTCAGGATCCTTAACTTGTGTTTGTATCCCACATACAAATACTTTTGAAGTATTATTATTTGTCAAGATTGACATGTGGGCTACTGTGTACCAAGAGCCTGTGTTGACCATTAAGATATCATCATCCATATTTATTAAGGCTTTCACAGAGTGGACAGCAAGACTTCGAGATTTGTCCTACAGAGAATAGTATAATTAGAATTTCAAAGTGTGCAACAGACAAAAAAATAAGCTGACTTGTTACTTTAAATGAAAACAAGCACTTGGCAAGAATTCTGAAAGGATATCTGATCCATTTCAGTAAAGTATGTATGTCTAAATGAAGCTTAACAAAGATAACTGACAAATGCATTTAGAACAGAAGGCTTTCTTGTTTAACCTAAATTACATCTACCATTTATTCTCTGTAGAGTGACATGACAATCCTAAAATCTCAAAGATTATTATGGGTTGGCTTCCATTCTTGTGTTGTGTATGTGTGTCTGTGTGGGGATTTGTACACATGAATGAAGTGCCTACAGAGGCCAGGAGGTCCTCTGGAGCTGGAGTTACAGACATATTTCTGAGAAGAACTGATGTGTGTGCTCTCTTAACCCATGAAGCATCTCTCCAATCCCTAGCTTCCATTCTTACCCCTTCATGAAATCCCACTTACACATTTTATTTATTTATTTATTTATTTATTTGTTTGTTTGTTTGTTTGTTTGTTTATTTATTTATTTTAGTAGGGATTTTCTGTTTCTCTGTCCTAGAACTCACTCTGTAGACCAGGCTGGCCTCAAACTCACAGAGATCTGTCTGCCTCTGCCTTCCCGAGTGCTGGGATTCACAGGCATGCACCACCACGCTCAATTAACTACTACCATTTTAAATTGTTGCTAGTAGCTAGCTCAGGCTGGGCAGAACGATATGATATTCTACTCAAGCATCTGGATGTGGAAGCTGGGCTCTGTGGCTTAAACCTGTAAGTCCAGCACTTTAAAGGCTGAGGCTGGAGGAGTGCCATGGGTTTGAGGCTAACCTGAGCAAGATAAAGAGTTTCAGGGTAGTGTGGGCTATATAACAAGATCCTATCGCATGAAAACCAAAGAATATGGGTGTGAGGGAGCGATAAACCTTAGAACACTGTGTCAAGCCACTGTAAGTTCTCCTCCTGTACTGACAGCCATAATAGACCTCTTACAAATTAGAGTTGTGGTGCTCTGTCAGGGAGGGCACGAGAGCACTACACAGTGCTTTTTCTATGTAGACTGGCACTCTAACTTCTCCAGAAATGGAAGGGAGAAAGGGGTCTCATTGTACTTTCTCTTGAATCCTCTTTTAGAAGAAAAAGAAAAGAAAAGAAAAAAGAGAAAAGGAAAGAAAAACAAACTTTTAAAAAATAGCAGCTAACAATCTCCCCATTTATGAATCTGAAGAAGAGAATATATTTTAGTTTTTCAGATGCATTATATGTCTGACTGTTTAGCTTGCATGTATGTAAGTGTACCGCATGTATGCCCGGTGCCCACGGAGGTCAGAAGAGGGTTCTAAAGCCTTCGAGACTGGAGTCACAGATAGTTGTGACCTGCCGTGTGGGTGATGGGAATAAAAAAATGGGAGCCGTCACCAAAGCCAGATAACGTATTATTTACAACTTCACATGGGACTGGGAGGCCGAAGCTTGGTGGAAATGGTGGTGGTAGAGGTGGTGATTTTATTGGAAGCAAAAATCAGGCTTAGAACCTCCCTGAGATTTCACTTGCAGTGGGAAGGATTCTTTGGGTAAACAGGATGATTCAGATTCATGATGACAGTAAATAGCAGTTTACCTGAAGAATAAGCTTATAATCTTTGAAAAGATCTATGTTTATAAGATCTTTTTTGAGATGAGAGGGGAAAATTAAGACATCCCCGCAATGCTGATCCACAGCAAAGACTTTGTCCTCAAGATACGATACAGATTTGACTTTATTATAACCTTTTCCTCTCAGATTACTATAAACTTCTTCAAGGCTGTAAATACAAGCATAATTACAAACAGAATGTGTTAAAGTAGACTAAACATTAATACTTTTGTTCTTGCAACGATAAAAAAAATATCACTGTACGTTTTGCATTTAAAAAAAACAATTTTAGCCAAGTTAAAAGATAATTAGAAACAGAAAATGTAACAGATTAAAATAATCTTATCAACAATCAAGTAAGCTGATGTTAAGATTTAAAGTTAAACTTGACTCTCATCATTTTCCTAAATGTGGCCTCAATCCTTACAATTACAAACATCACTTTATTTATTACATTCTCTTAAAAGAATGGGGTTTTGAACTATAATGAAGAACTGGGTAGAAATGCATACCTGATTTTACCAGTATTTACCCAAGCGTAGAGAGGCAAAGTGGAGGCCCGCTGTTCCTGTTTCCTAACCGTCTCTGGCAGGATCTGGTAAATTGACAGGGCATCGTGTTTGATTCGACATCTCGCCAATGCGGCAGCCAATTTTGTCTTAGAGCTAGAGACATAAAATCCATTCTTGATGACCGTGAACTTGAAACAAGACTATCAATTCTCCATTTGAAACCTTTTTTAAAATCACTTTTAGAATTTTAACAAATTTGTCTGTCATTCCATCTCAAATATTTGAAGCCTAAAATAAGATTTGTGATATTCGAAAACAGAGATCCAATAGTCCTGCTCTTTTGTTTGATTTGTGCTGCCTCTCTTTAGCTATGTACTCCTCAAATACTTACAACACTGATTGTTAAGAGTCAGACGAAACAGAAGTTGAGTGCAGGTTCTGTCACTTACCAGCTGAGTGACCTTGACACTGTCACTCATCTCCTCTCTTGGCCTCAGTTTTTCCATCTGTAAAGGTAGCCAACTTACCTTAGTATTACTATGTGCTTAGCGCAAACCAAAACATTAGCACAGGACCAGCACACAGAAGGCAGCCATTATAGTCTGGTTAGTAATATCAGGGTGGTGACAGGATAGGATTGGTAACCTTCAAAAGATGTTATTAATCTCTGTCAGTTGATTAGTTCTGAATATCCCATGTCTCCAAGTCCCAAACAAGAGAAAAGGAAAACATCAGCATCACTGTGAAGACCCAATATGTTATAGTGAGTGCAAACAGGATTTGTGTGTGTGTGTGTGTGTGTGTGTGTCTTTTAGAACTTTCGCAGTAGGAGACTAACTGAAATAAAGGAAAAATAAACAGATGTCATAAAAGAGTCAAGTACAAGCTGAGGTCCACTTGATGTGTATTTTTTTAAAAAACAAAAAGGAAGAAGACATCCTGAGGAACTGCTGTGAGCCCCAGCAACGCTGTCTGAAAGACCAGGTTGTGGCAGGTGGTGGCGAGTGAACAGCTCAGCTGCCATCTCGGCACCAAGTGCTGGACACCGCTTTCCTTAGGCCACTCAGACTCCCTTCGTCTACATTTCATGGCCACTTACCAACACAAAACTCTTAATCTGTAGATCTGGGAGAGGAAATTAGGAGTACCTGAGGAGGCAGGGGTTAGCAAACAGTAAACTTATTAGAGCTACAGTAAATGTCTAAATATTATAGACTTAGAGCAGGATAAACTTAGAGATGCACAGCAAAGAATCCATGTAAAGAATTACTATGAGTTACTGTTCTATACTGTACATATGTAGATGCTGATTACATAATGTTTTGATAAAAACATTATTTCTAAATACCAACTTAGTTCAAGTTTGCTATGATAAATGTAACTGAGTGAATTATCCGATTAATTTCTGCTCTCACAGCTGACCATCTGTCTCTTTTACCCTCACCAGCATTCCTATTACAGAGAGATTCCTTTCTAAACATCATTATACTATTCTAAAGCTTAAATCCTAAAAGAATCCTATTAGCATATAAAGCTAATCCTTATAAGCCCTTAAGCTTTATCACGATATATTAGGATGTAGTAATTTAGCCTCACCCAACTCCTCCTGCCACAATTCTCTCCCTCCCTCCCTCCCACAAACCTACCCTTAGTCACATACATCACCATCTGCAAACCTATAATAAGCATGTTCCCCACCCCCTCTCTTCCCCTTCTTCTCTCCTTTCCCTTCCCCTTCCCTCCTCCTCTCTCCTCCCCTCCCATCCCCTCTCTCTCCTCTGTCTGGCCTTTGAACCAAATTCAACTTTTGTCCCACCAGTCATTAGCAGCATGCCTTTAGATAAGTCTTCTAAGCTGTACAAGTAAGTAATGACTTAAGTATCTAATGAATTAGTATCTAATGAACAAGGTGGTTGCAAAGATACTTTTAAACATCTTCTTACAGTCAGGCTAGTCAAGAAAAGATTATAATTAATATGCTTATTCCTTTACAGCCATTAACCAAGTACTGTGCTGAGGTCTGGACTTCTAAAGGCTGGGAGATAATTTGGGCCGGTGGTAGCGCCTGCCTGGAGTGGCAGCAGTAGCAAGGCAAACACAGGACTGCTGCAGACTTGAAGCAGCTTGGCCTGTTAGACAAGTTTCAAGCCAGCCAGCACTACCTCCCTAGTAATACCCTGCTGCCACCCCCCAAAAGAAAACTGATGTTGATCCTTAAGAAGTTGATAGTTGGGTGCTGAAGAGAAAAACAAACAAACAAACAAACAATCCCGGCATAATATGATGATTGTTATGAGACACACAGAGAATAGATAATAGTGTATTAAGAAAAAAAAATATTGATATGTCCCAAAGGGATTTCTAAGAAAAGCTTAGCTAGTTAATTAGCAAAGGAAAAGCAACAATTTCTACACCAAAAAGAGAGTGTAGACATAGAGAGCAAGAGTTTTCCAGGCACAACGTGAGAGAAGACGCAGAGAGAACACAGTGCCACAGAGATGAGAAGACGTTAAACGGCACAGCACATTTACTGAGCAGAGGGTGGAAAGAGGCCCAGCAGCAAATCACAACAGCTCATGCATGCTAAGGATAGAACATTGCGACTTTTTGTGCACAAAATAGAGGGATACTTAAAATAGAAAAGTAGTAATAAAATCACTAAGCAAGCCCATTGTGGTGGCACACGCCTCTGATCCCAGCCCTCAGGGAGGCAAAGGCAGGTGGATCGCTGTGAGTTTGAGGCCAGCCTGCTCTACTGAGTGAGTCCAGGACAGCCAAGACCACACAGAGAGACCCTGTCTCAGAAAAAAAAAAAAAATCATTCAACAAATACACTTGTTTTCTTACTATATATTGCAGGCATTGTTCTAAGTTCCAGGAACCAGTGAATGGACCAGGAGGAAGCTGCCCCTGACATACAAAGAATCTGGGAGGAAACGAAAGAACCTTTTGAAAGGCATTTCACTGTGCTGCGGTGCAATAGAAGGTCCTTGCTATGGGAGTGAAGAAGTATTTCCTAGGAGTTAGATTCCAGCTAAGCTATAGGGAGGAGTGGAAGGGAGCCCAGAGTAAAGGGGAAGCTGAGGGGCTGTATCCCCACTGGTCCAAGCAGAGGATGCCTCAGGCCACAAAGTGTGGACCAATTCTGAAGTAAGTGCCTCAGAAGAAGACCTATACAGAGCTTACAAGAGACTCAGAGGAAAGAAAAACAAAAATGGAAATTCAGAGCAGCTCAAGCTTATGTGAAGTCTGTCTTTATAGGCCTGGATTACTTGACTATTTTTTAGTTCTATCCATTTTTCCTGCAAATTTCATTTTTCTCTACAGCTGAGTAAAATCGCACTGTCTACTATAATTTCATTATCTGTTCATCAATTGATAGACACCAAGGCTCATTCCATTTCCTAGCAGTTCTGAATAGAGCAACAAACATGGATATATAAGTAACTCTGCCGTGGTGTATTAAGTCTCTTGGGAATATGTCCAGGAGAGGTAGGCTGGATCATACAGCCGTTCTACTTGGCTTTTTGAGAAATCTCCACACTGATTTCTATAGTGACTATGTCAGTTTAAAGTTCCTCTAACGGTATATAAGTCTTCCTTGTTTCTTCACATCTGCACCGGTATTTGCTGTCATTTGTTTCCTCTTTAAAGATTTTGTTTTTGTTCCGAGTATTTTGCCTGCGCGTATACAAGTGTGCCCTATGCACACAGTGCTCACACAGTTCAGAAGATGGTATCATATCCTCTGGAATGAGTTACAGACAGTTGGGAGCCGCTCTGTGGGTGCTGGGAACCGAGCCAGGGTCCTCTGCAACAGCAGCAATTCTCTTAGCTACTGAGCCATCTCCCTAGCCCTTCTGAGCCATCTCCCTAGCCCTTCGTTTGTATTCTTGATAATAGCCACACTGACTGGCCGTTGTCTCAATGCTTTGGGATAGTGCTATACTAGTTTTATTGGTGTATACAGTATAATTTGTAATCAGGTGTGATAATAACTTATAGCAGTATTCTTTTTTGCTCAGGAGTAGCTTGGCTATCCAGAGTCTTTTATGTTTCTTGTGAAATTTAATATTTTTTCCTATTTCTGTGATTGCTTTTGGAAGGATGACCATTTTGCAATACCAGTTCTTCCAATCCATATGCATAAAAGGTTGTTCCATCTTCTAGTGACTTTTATTTTTACTGTAGAGGTCTTTTACTTCTTGGATAGGGTTTTTTTTAGTTACTATAAATGGAATTGTTTTTGATTTCTTTCTCAGTGTGTTTGTCATTGATATATAGAAAATCTACTTAATTTGTGTATTTATTTTACATACTATAACTTTGCTGAAAATATGTTATCAGCTCTAAGAGTTTTCTAGTGGGGTTTTTAGAGTCTCATGTATAGAATCATCTGAAAAACTGGATAATTTGAGTTTCTCTTTTCCTATTTGTACTCCTTTTATTTCATTCTTTTGTCTTAGTATTCTCACTACTAAAAAAGACTTTGAGTACTATATTGAATAGAAGTGGAGAGAGTGAAAACCTTGTCTTATTCCTGATTTTAGTATGACTGCTTCAAATACAAAATATTATTTCAGTGTTCCTATATTTTGGGTATATACTCTGTTTCCTAATATGTGATCTAATTTAGAGATTGTTCAGTGGGCGTCTGAGACAAATGTATGTCCTGTGGTGTTTTGAGATGTTCTGAAGGTGTCTATTAGGTCCACTTGACCTATGATGTCATTTAAATCCACTCTTTCTCATTCTTTTCCATGATATAATGGTGAGAATGGGGTATAAAGTCACCCACTATTATTATGTTGGGGTAAATATGTGTGCTGTTTTTGAAATTGGTTGTATCTGTGTTTAGTACTGTAGTGAAATTTTTCAAATGTTGTTTTCTTTAAAAAACACAGAAATAAGCCACGAGTGGTGGCAAATGCCTTTAATCCCAGCACCCAGGGAAACAGAGGCAGGCAGATCTTTGTGAGTTCAAGGCCAGCCTGGTCTACAACATGATGCAAGTCTACACAAGTCTTGAAAAACCAAAACCAAACCAAACCAAACCAAAACAAATCAAACCACAGACATATAAGAATGTTTTGTTTTAATCCCTGTGTGGAGATATAGTGTTGCTCTGTAGCAGCTAATTTGCCTTGTACTCT